AGTACTGCAGCAAAACAATGCCAGAGACTGCACTGAGGTGGGCGTGTTAGCACTGGGTACAGGTAGAAAATATAATATGAACCTAGAAGTCTAGTTTAAAAGGTGTTTGAAAAGCCAAGCTACTGTAGGTGGTTTATAGTCTTTGCACAACTCAGAAACACTGACAGGAGAGCAGCAAATTTTCTCTTATCTTGATGCTTACATGGTAAATGGTACATTAGCCCAAAGCACAAATGTACACACTCCTTCCACTTAGTGTAAGTACTGGTACAAATATGCACCCACTCTGTGAATCCAAACGAAGATAATGAAGGAAGATGCCCGTGTTTTTGCTGCAATGCAATTATTTGTCTGAAAGGGCTCCAAGACTTCTCTCTGCAACCTGCTATCTGTCTGCTTTGTTTGGAAGGTTGTGAACTGAAGATTACATAAAAAAACAGTAAAGAAATGGTGTTGGATGAGAACACAATCAATACCTGATGTCCTTCATTGGTTAGAATGACCTGTTTCTCCTCAGAATTGGCCACCTCAAATTTCTTGATGAATTCACAGTCCTCTGCTGAGATCATCTGACTCCTGCAAGAGAATTCATCAGGACATTGCTATTTTAGCACAGTGCTACGACAGGAAGCAATTACTTGTATACATTTTGACCTTGAACAACAGCAAGGCCAACAATGGGTTGGATAATATAGGGTGATAGTTTCTACTGATTAATCATGAGGCATTCAAAACATTCCCTTTATCTCTGGAGCAAGACATACAACAAACATGTACAGTGAGTATGCCACTGACCCTCTCACATGAGGACTGGGCTTTACCTTGTCACTAGCATGCTGTTTCTAATTGCAAAAGCAGCTTGCACAATAATGGCAATTAACTAGAAATACCGCATATTCTATAGGCAAACAACACCATGGGTTGGCTGTGGAGGTAGCTAGTAACATTAAAACATGCTTTTAGCATATCCAATGAATGAAACAAGGAATCAAGCCATCAGGGGATTTTTTTTTAGAAATGACGTCCTGAGTCACAAGCCAGATCTGCTGCATTAAAACATGCAGGACTGAAGAGGAAGTAGCACCCAAGACAGTGAATCACAACACAGGAAATAGACCTGCTTGTGGACTGGCACAGTACATTCCAATGTGTCCAATTATTAAACTGATGTATTCAGAAAGACACGTAAAGTAAGAGCTTTAACTCTCTAAGAATGTTTTGACATAATGCTTTTGGGAAATAATACAATATCACTACAAAATATGCAGCTTATAGATTGCAGATTTTACTAATGTGTCCTGGGTCCTGAAACCTCTCAATATCATAAAAGCAGACTTTCTGAAGCAGAACAAAACTAGGAACACTTTTCACTATAATAGAGTCCAGTTCAACATCACTCTACTTAATATGTTATACATAAAGTCGGATTATTAAAGCTTTGTTAATGTAAAGGTTATGGCAGAGCTGTTTGTGCTGACTTGCATTAGCACAGGTGTACCTCATAAAGTGTCCAGTGTGTGTATCTCAACATGATGTGCTGTTGTAAAGTGTACTTACTGCAGGTAGGACTGCCAGTTGACCAGATTGGCCCGCACCTCAGCTGCCTTTGCAGCAATGATGTTGGTGGGAACTGCAGCGTCCACAGCCCCGCGGATATCCATCCTGTATTATATCCACTACTACAGTATATATGTATGGGCAGGAATCCAACTCCACCTGGATGGAAACACCAGAATTAGCATTAGCCCAGTGACTCAAGATCAGAGACAATGTTGCAGCTTTTTGGCCTGGGTTTGGAGAGTGCACATTAACCAATTATAGCCTGCAATGATAACACATGATGCTTATAGTCAATTACAGATGGCATGGCAGGTAACTAGTTTAGTTAGCTGTGACAGAGGTTTAACCAAGAAGACAGCTTATACTGTGAGTTCAGAGCTGCAAATAATTTGCCAATTATACCGTGAATATTTCGACGTGTGTCAGACATATGAACCTTATATTTCATCCTTCTAATTGAATTCAGACGTTAGTTAGCAAGCTCACGTTAGCAAACAGCCAAGCAGCTAGCAACTGGTCATCCCAGATAACTAGCTTAACTCAATGTCACGACATGTTATGGTGGGTCTTTCCGAGATAAATCACCACAGTGCATATGCCACGACATTAAACAGTGTTAAGTCTGTAGCCAAATATAATGTATGCATTTAAAGCTGTCAAATTATGACGTTAACGGCGACACAGATACAGCCGTTGGCTAAGCGTAAGCTAGCAACAGCTAGCAAAATAAGCTGATGCTAACCCAGGCTAGCTGTGCTAACATGGCTTAGCATCCATTCTGTCACCGTGTGAAAATAACAACGGGTACACAGATAATGACATTTTCGATCCCAGAATCCGACAAACTATATTGCAAGGGAATTTTCCTCTGATAAGGAATAACGGAGCAAAAGTCTCGGTTGAGTTACTCACCCAGCTACAGTCCTGAGGAACCAGCTGACTGACTACAACACAGCTTCACGGTGTATCATGTGACAGTCACATGCGCCGCAGTCTGACGCCAGCAGAAGAGGAGACAGGGAAGTTTTTACCTTCAATATGATAAACAATTCAAAATGAGTGCATATGGAAACCTTAATCTCTAAATATTGTTGCTAGAATTCGTCTGCCTAAAAGTCTAGGCAATAGTTATGTTTCTGACCAATTATAGCATATAGGCTATAAACAAACCAGAAATTGCTGTAAATGTCATTTACTATGAAAATTAGCCTCCTGACCTTAACTTTTGTTTGGTATGCATTTTTAATTTCTCCTAGCTATTTGAGATAAGTAGGACCTGATAAAAATGTAACACTGTCAACAATAATCCCAATGTCCTCAAACGAGATGATAATAAAGTCCCAATGTCCTCAGATGAGACAACAATAAAGTCCCAATTTCAAGCAAGTAAATGTTTCTTTTTTCTTTTTTTGTAAAATAGTCAATACCATCTATAACAAAATAATTTGCTAATTCTATAACTATAAATCAGCAATTGAGAATGTTAAATTAAATTAAATTAATAATTTCTTATTTTCTTTGGTATTTTTGTTATATACAGATATGCAGTGATGATTGCTGAGTAATATGTACGTTAATGTTATCCAATGTCAAGTCTCTGATCATGTGAAGAGACGATATGTGAATGATAGCTTGCACTAGGGCCCATCATAACTACCTTACGCCGCTGGCTTTAAGCATATAAATATAGAGCAATATGATAAAATTGGGAATCTTATGTTATTCGTTTTTCCTTCTCCTATTTGCAATATATGAAAACATGGTGGAAATACAGTGCTATTGTGTGATGTCACAAAGCATATTCAATTTAATTTCCCTGACCAAAAAGTAAGGCAACAGCAATTTTTGCAGCAATAACACCTCAATACCACTTAATAATAATAAACTGTACATATGTGACACTTAAAATTATGATAGTTAACATGAGATAAATAATTTGAATAAATGAATAATTGGTCCTAGATAACAACAACAGAACAACTGTGTTGAACATTATGAAAACTACTGGTAAAATTAGAAATGGTTACTGGTAAATTTGACACTGAAGAAGTTGCTAGTGATATGGTTTGCCTGAGATGCTCAGAGTCCAGATCTTAAAAGGCCTGAAAAATTCACATTACCATTGTCTGTGGCTCCAGTTCATGTAGAAATGTAGTGTATTAAATGTAGCATATTAGGTTTAAATAACTATATGGAAGTGCTAAATCTGCCTGTGTGAATGATTTAGAAACTCTACTCCCTTGCTGAAACAGACGTAAAATAGATGTGTGCACAGGACAGATCAACATAATAAATGTACAGTGATCTATATGACAAAATGATACATTTAGAGAGAGTGAGAGTGACAGAGAGAGATGCACAGCAAACAGCATAGACTAAAAATAATGGACATAGCCACTGTGACGTCACACATTGGTGTGTGGACTGCTGTTTTGAAGCCTCGAGTTTGGCATTTTGGCTGTCGCCATCTTGGATTTTTGCAACCAGACATGCAAATATGTGGACAAGAGGGTGGAGCTGTGGAGGAGCGAGGGGTGGATCCATGCCAAACAGTAATGATATTTGGTATTTAGTATTTTGGTAGTTGTTATATGTACATATTAATATATGATAGTAAAGGCTATGTTTGTGACAATATTAATCATGTGTGTAATAAAAGTAGAAGTATGACTAATAGCAGTAGTAGTAGGAATTGAATTGCTGTCTTTTTGATAATTTACTAGGCTTGCCCAAAATGTGAGGGCTGCTGCAGTGAAATATGAAAATGATACAACCAAGGGGACTATCTGTGCTCCTGCTGCCAAAGCACGGACTGCAAATAGTCCCCGGAATCAAAACAAACCTTGGAGAGAGAAGCAGGAGAACAGATCAAATGAATAGTGTGTGTCTCTGTCTGTCAGACAACATCCAGCATCCTAATGGGGCTGGAAAATGAGATATACGCCACATGTGACTCCAGCCAATCAATTACAGCTGCGTTATCAGTTAATGGTGTACTTTAACTTTGTGGCTTTGTGAGGATGACGGAGAGCTGAAGTCAGTTGATTGCTCACACTGAAGAGCTTTGATCAGTGTTTATCCTTGTGAGTCTGTAATGAGCGACACAAAGCACAACACATTAAAAGCTCCTTGTGAAACACGTTGAGTGTATGTCTGTATTAATGGATGTGTATTGTGGCCATATGCTTCCCCTACAAAGTCCATTTACCAATGTGTTTTAATCCATTCTGTTACATGGGAGTTCATCAAGGAGCATTTACAATCACAAATGAATCCACGTCTGTCACTAGTCTTCCTCCTCCATCTCACTCAGACACTAAGACCTCCTGGCTTAATCTGTCCTAAGCTGGTGAGACGCAGTAAAGCACAGAGGAATCAGGATTGCATCCAGCAGGGACATTGTCCTAATCCCCTTCTGCCCTCTCCTTTGTAAACACTCTTCTCTCCGTCGGGGTCACTGATGCTTTTTTCCTTCCTCTGTCTCTCCCTATCTCTCTGCCACAATGTGCTTCAGAACAGACGCCGGGAAAACTTAGAGGACAGGAGCGAGGAGCGTGGATTTCTTATGATCTCAAAGAGACTGGAGCCTCACGTGGCGAGTGAGGCCTCATGGTCGGAGCATGCCATGTGCTAGAGCGGTGAGGCAGTGGGAGATCAGGCCCACGTCTGCTCTGCGGGGGATCAGACGCTCCAGGGCCCTGATGTGGCAGCGGATACGGGGACTGGTCCGGGCCTGCCGGCACGGTGTGGGATACCCAGTGAACTACAATGACCAGGCCCCAGAGGAACAGGAGATGGTGTGCCTTGAGGTATGGGCATGTTGGAGTTTTTCTCCCCCCTGGCAAGCCTTACTATCTTGATGATAGCCTCACTATAATAAACATACCACTGATTACTACTCTGGAGCTAATTAATATGGAACAAATACAATTTAAACTCACCAACCAGTCAAGTAAAACTACAACAGTACAAAAAAGATCTTTGAGTACATATTTCAGAAACATTTTGGATCAGAGAACAGTAACCAGCATGTTGCTTGTTAGCTGTTGCAAATAACAAATAACACTGAAAGTATTCTGTCAAGATTATTACTTTTGAGAGCATAATAAACTGCAGCAATATCCCCACACTTATATATCAAGTATTTGCTCTTTTTATATTGATCCCCAGTGTTGTTACTGTTTTTGTTATTATTATTAACTAGATTGCTCTTGTCTGAGCATCAACAGCTCCTTTTCGCTTCTTGCCAAACTTCTATTTAGGGACGTACTTCCTGTCTGAACGAGGCCTAAGAAGATTAAAAGAAGATGGTGTGTCTTGAAATAGTGTGATACCAGTTATTGGAAATCTAAATTAAGTTGCAGTCTGTCACACAGACAGACAGACTGTAAACATACATTACAGCTAGTATTAATGCCTTAATTAAGTGTATACGTAGCCAGTTGCAAGTACATGCAGTAGTCTGAAAATGTGATTGAGCTTGGCAGCAGAATATTCCTTGGTAATTGGATATATACAGATTCCTGATAGATTTCTGTAGTAAAGAGAACTATGTTTATATTTACAGAGGGGAAGGGACTGTAAGAAATCCACAGGAGCTGCTCCCAGAACTGAGTCAGTTCAGATCATAACATATACATTACACAAATTGTGTATGTAAAGTACTGGAGCTTGTTGACTTACTATCTAAATATTTTTGCACTGCTATGAACTCAGTAGTAAAAAATGTCTATGGAACACAACACAACTGACTGAAAAGACTGTGACCCGTGAAATTAGATCTACAGTAGGAAACTTTTCTGAAAACTTTTTGTCATATTTGCTAAAACTCTCACTAAATCCATAAAGTAGGCTATTATATGAGACAGAGACTCTCTGAAAAACAAACATGGCCTTCCTCCTCCTACTGCCTATAATTCGCTAGAATCGACAGCGACGCACCAGAAACAACCAATCAGAGCCGAGGAGTCTGTAACGAAGCTGTCAGTCATATCAATCACTTTGTGAACTGTGGTCAAACTGTCGAAATGGACAACCCGCATCAGATGTTCTCATTCTCACCTCAGATGTTTTCAGAAGCATATTTTAGTGTACCATTTAGCAGTAAAAGGAGAAGGTTTAAGGCCCAGCCGCCATGTTGGAAACAGCTGACCGAAGCACCAAGCACCGCCCACCAGCCGGACCATCTTTCTTTGATAAGCGCTGCTTAGTTTGACAGTTTGACCGCAGTTCAGGAGCAGTGATTGACATCATCGACAGCTGCGTTACAGACTCCTCTGCTCTGATTGTTTTCTTTTTCCATTCACGTGCATAAATGCCATTATATACTATGAGGAGGAGGAAGAATGTAATGTTTTATGTTCAAAGATCATCTATTTCATGTACTGCTTTTTGGATATAATAAGTACTCTACCAACTTGATATTGTTGGACTCCTGATGGACAGATTGAATTAATAATAATAGATCAAAACTGAAGCAGCAGAACTAGAGATATTGCCTTTTAAATTCCACGTATTCTTCTTCCACACCTCGCGCCTATGTCACCCACAATGCAACTCAACTCCAAACAGTTTGATCAGAGATTTGAGTGGGTTATGCTAGTAGCAGCTAATCTTAAGCAAAGTTGAGAAACAGGCTACAGAGGTCTGGATGCCTCAATTCTGTCTAACCCCACAACACCAGATGCTTTTATCTTTAAACTTGTAGTCTTCAGCCCCAACAGATGCTGACACAAGTGACAACACTTGAAGTAATATATGAGATTTCACACAGCTCCCTCTGGAGCTACAGACGGCTTTATGAAACTTCTGTCCTCAAGTGTAGCAGGACTCCCTAACACCTGTAAACGGACCTCTAACTTGAGAAAACATGCACTTGTAGATGTTCATATCAAGACTTCGAATTCTGTCTTACTGTATTTTGACTGAATTCACTAATCAATTTGAGGTCCAAACTCATGTTTTCCACAGCAGACATTCTGATTTGTCATTGCAGGAAAAACACAGGTGTTTAGGTGTTACCAACAACACTTTCGATGATCAGTTCCTCTAAGTGTCCCCGCAGTGAGCCAGCATGCACAGTAGCAGGGCTCTGTAGCTGGCCCCACGGCCCTCGTTAATGTTATTATTTACACCTGTGCTTTTCCTGCTGTAACATCTCCATGCCACACATTTAGGGCCATGAATGTTCAGAACCAGTGTGGTAGTGTTGGCAACAGAGAGCTTGGCAGCCTCTTGTGGAGTTATATGCACCCATCTGTATTTTTATCACCCATTTTATTGACTTTATTTAAATATTTTAGTTCTTATTGGATAGTACTCAACAGGAGAAGAGACAGGCACTCAAACCAGGGACATTGCAATAGAGCTTTGTCACAGTAGTCACGGTAGAGAAAGCACAGGTGTAATTAATAACCTTAACGATGGCTGCATTTATCTCTGTTGGTTTGCTGGTATTGTGAATGCTGTCTCAATATCGCAGCTTATTGGGAGCCTTAAATGGAACGGAGCCACTGTGTAAATATTATTAACACCTTTTCCTACGATGACAAGTCAAAATGTCTGCTGTGAAAAAAGCTCTATGACATCGTCAGCATCTTAGACCTCCACCAGGATGCCTTGACCTGTCTTTATTTTAGAACTGTGACTGAGTTAACACTAAATCACAGATTGTATTGATCACCACACATACAGAATATAACATATGTAACAAAAAGTGCTCATCTTTCACACTAATGACGTGATTGGCCTTGCAGTCAGTTCATAAATTTACCTCGTTGCTCTAAAAGCCTATACCTATTTCCATGTATTGTGCTGTATATAGATTTGTCCATACTTTATCTTTGTGTGTATATTTAGCTAGCTTCTCATCATGGTAATAAAAGTAAGCAGTGCGATAACTGAAATGCATTCACAAGCTATTGCTTAATTATATTCTAATTGCATTTTCATGACCTTTATGAAGCGGTTTATTTGTTATTATAGAGTCCAAACAATTACAGAAATGACAAGTGGCATACCCTGATAAAGAAAATGCCTCTTGAGCTTAATTTCAGAGCTCTTGTCAGTAGAGCAAAGAGAGGCCGCCCTCCACTTAGTGACTATTGATAGTCCCAGGAGTTCCTGTACATTTTAAGTAGAGAGCTGTGCTATCAGTTCGTGCAGGTAACTGAAATTTATACAAGGAGACATGATATGATTCTCATTTGTATTCTTTTAAGAGCAGCCTCAAGCCACTTTGCACTGCATATGTTGTGTGAGAGTTCTTTTAAAACTTACATCAGGGCCACAGATCAGTGATGGCATTTTGGACTCGGCTATTTGCAGTACTTGTAAATCCATTAAGTATTTGTTGGTTGGTGTTGTCATTTATGTTGAATGCATTTTTTATTTGCCTCTGGCTGTGAACTGAATTTCATCCCAGGGGACAATAAAGAAATAAATGTTGCATCAAATAGCATCACAATAACAATCCCATCCTGCAACATTTATAATGATACATCAAATAGCATTACAATAACAATCACTTCCTGTAACATTAAACTTTCAAGAAAAAGGTCAGATAGAATCACAGTAAGATCCTGTGTTTACCCTGCAAGGCTCTTAAATGTCTCTAAATAGAGCTCAATAGAACTGTGTTAACTGTTTGCATGGAGACATGTCGCCAAGAGTTAGGTTGATAATGTGATGTTAAAGTAAAAAACAAAAGAAGAGATGACTATGTAACTTGGTTATAAGGATTAAGACACTGATTGCGCTTTATTAAATTGAGCCTGACATTTACAGTACAAAGATCAACTTAATGAACACACCCGGGGGAAATTAATTAGAGGAACAATGTCAGCAGGAAATCAAAATCAAATGGAGAGAATATTGGGTAACACTTTACTTGAAAATATCTACATAAGAATGACATGACACTGTCAAGAACCTGTCATGAACATTATGTACATGTCACTAACATTTATGACCGCTGTCATTAAGTGTCATTTAGTTTTTGTAATGACAAGTTGACATTGTTTGGGTTGTCTTGATTATGACAAGTTGACATTAACCAGGATGACATTACCAGAAGATGTCTTTGTCATGACAACTTGACATTAACAAGAAATGCACCTCTTTTTGTGTTTATGACAAGTTGACATAATGCTTATTATAATTAGATGTGCAAGGTTACAGACCGATTCTAACACTCTGATGTCTGGCAGGATATGACACAAAACTGGCTGTTATGACACCATTATGACAGTGTAATGAATATATGCTTTGATCTAAAGTAAAGTGGTACAATTTTGATTTGTCATTAAGATATCATGAAGGATAAGACTGGCTGTCATGACAGTCTGTAACCTTGCGAGTCTAATTATAATAATCATTATGTCAACTTGTCATGAACACAAAAACAGGTGCATTTCTTGTTAATGTCAAGATGTTATGACAAAGACATCTTCTCGTAATGTCATCCTGGTCAATGTCAAGTTGTCATTATAAGGACATCCCAAAAAAAATTAATGTCAACTTGTCATGACAAAGACAACTTACGGTAATGTCGTCCTGGTTAATGTCAAGTTGTCATTATAAGGACATCCCAAACAAATGTAATGTCAAGTTGTCATGACAAAGACACCTTCTGGTAATGTCATCCTAGTTAATGTCAGGTTGTCATTACAAAAACCGAATGACACTTAATGACAGCAGTCATAAAAGTTTATGACATGTACATAATGTTTATGACAAGTTCATGACAGTGGCATGTCATAGTTATGACAGTGTCATGTCACTCTTATGTAGATACCTTCAAGTAAAGTGTTACCGAATATGTTATTGCCATCTTTGTTGCTTCAGAACGCTCACAAATGCCAGCCATGATCTTGACGTCTTACACTGGTGACCACACTTCCTCTCTCCAGTGCCTATCTGCATGTTAAGCTCCACTGATGGAATCTACAGTTAATTCTATCTCCATCAGAGCTTCACAATGCTTCGAATCCCCTTAATCACACACTGAAAAGACTTAATTCATCCTCTCCCCCACTTCTGGCGTCCTACTCTTCCGTTTGACCTTGTGCGTTCAGACTCCCTCCTCTACTTGTCATGGCACCCTCGGAGGGGAAAAGTCTGTGAGTCCGTCAAAATCACGACGGCATAAAGTATCAGTTGTGGCTTGCGTGTGTATGTATCAATCTCTCATGGCTATTTGTGGGTCTGTGTTGCATAACATGAACACAGGGGAAGGTGTTAAATGGAGTGTTGTGGAGAAAGTCACATGCTCATATCTCTAGAGGGGAATAAAGATGCGTGGATGGTCAGGGTACGCCCCAGTTCAGTACAGTAATTAATCTGGACAGGGAAAAAAAATCTCCTTTCCCTACTTTCTGACAAGGTCTCAGAACAAATGCCTAATCCTGAAATGGTTCAATAGGCAGTATCATAAAACAGTACCAGATCTGTGTTGTGTCAGGCACTATAAGAACAGTCCTCCACTTTGTTTTGTATTACACACGCTCACATTTTGCAGCACTTCTTATTACAATGTGGGACATTAATTCCATAGCATCAAAGAGCATCTTGACTAACAATGTGACCCAGACAGCATAAATGTGTTGGTGTAAATCAAAGTAGATAATTAGATAAAATACAGTATGCTGTAGTACACATTTGCAGAATAGGCGGAGTGCCATCTGGTGTTTGTGCAAAGCAAAACATGATGTGCACCTACACGCGATGCATGAAAAAAAGGCATAGAGTAGATTGCATTAAAAATGTATGTGTGAGAACACACCATCATCCCCATCTCGATTCTGCATCACATGGAAATAAACTGACACAGTATAATACTCACACAAGCATGTAAAACATCAGGGATTACATCAAGCAGGTCATATCTTGCAAACACAACCGTGCCTTTCACAAATTCACATGAGCATCAAGGCTCTATGAGTCAGCCGGTGCTTTACTATCATGTGCATGGAGAACATCATGTTAGTGCTGCGGCTCTAACTGCCTTCAGATGGCAGTGTTGTCTTCTGCATCATTACCGGTGGCAGGCCTGTACTGTAGATTACAGGGCACAACAGGAGCCTGGCAATCATCTGTAGGAGAGTTAGACTAAATGCTCCAATGCAAGACACTGTGGGTAACTTGCACGGCAACCTATGATTTAATTTGAAGTGTATTTAACAGGGACAATGCAGATTAACACTGCTGCATAAGGAGAAGCATGTATTTGTCTATGTATTGTACACGACTGTGTATGCATTGACATGAAAGGTTGTGTGTATATCTGTGTGTGACAAGAGGATTAAAGTCATTCACGAAATTAAAAAAAAAAAACAGTTGAGTGCTCTTGATGGATGGATCACTCAGTCAAATGGGAGCATAGGTGTAGATTTTGGGGCGGCACAGGGGACACATCCCCCTCAATATTAAGGACATGTGCTTATGCCCTCCCCAACAACACAAAAGCGTTAAAGGACTTAATTACAAACATTTTCACCTCAAGTTAGTGCAGAACATTTCACAAGAATGCAGGAAAGTTAGTGCTTGACGCTCAAAATCTTCTAGGAGGGGACCCCAAACCCCAGTTTTATGTGCCCCCCCATTAACCTACGCCCTTGAATGTGAGACTAAACTCCCCAAATGGTATAACATTTGCTGTCAAAGTCATGCTATCCTTCAGATAGTTGAAAGAAGTGCAGCTGCAGTAAGCGTCTGGTTGTTTCAGCACCATAGACAGCGACTTCAGGCTAAAGGCGCATGTGCCAATGAAATGATGGCTTTTTGGTAACATTTCTAGATGTTTTTAAGTTTTGTAAATAGCTGGAATTTAATAAGAGCTTAAGTGAGGTTTAAATGTGTTTTTCTGTCTGGTGCGTTAGTCTGTAAGCTTTATTTTTGGCTCCTTTTCTTTATCACAAAACCTTCTTGCATCAATAGTGCGCTCCTAGAGTCTCCTGCGTCCAGGGCAGGGTAAAGGACCTGCACTGTAAAAACCTGTGCCATACTGTCAGGGTTTACGCTCCTCACTGAGCTACTACGAGCTGGAGAGAAGACGCATGCGTACTGACTTGAAGCAGCCGGTCGGGGGAAAAAAAGCCTTATGTGCCATCGGATGTAATCAAGGCAAAGAATTACCTCTTCTCGCTGTGCATACATGGTGAAATTGTAAGTACTGGTAGCAAACCGATGTATCATTTGCACGGACATGTCGTGAGCGGAGCATTTGAGGCCGTTTCCCGGTGATTTGAAATGGCATGTCACTATGTTGCTGTATACAGTGGGCTTTTAACAGATCTAGGCAGTGTCTTTTCGGTGGTTGTCCAGGGCGAAGAAGCTCTACGGTTCTTCATGGTGGCACTTTGCATTGATGGTGTTGTGCGAGTTGGTAATTGCAATGGTTTCTGCTGTTTTTCGTTGTAAAAAATGAAATCGTTCAGGAACCATCACACCGTTACAGTGTCGTTCACATTTCTGCTACGGTAAGATTGGAGGAGAGGAGCGGTTTATTTGGTGTTATCATGATTTATTCTTTGAATGGGTACGACCACCCCCACCCCCCATTTCATCGTCTATAGCCGTTGAGTCAAGCCATAGCATATACTGCAATTGTGTCAGCTTTGAAGGACCCGACACCTAACGCGTAAAATATGCCATTTGGCAAGACGCACGAAATCTGCAGCTGAAGCCTGCTCTGAATGTGAGTGAACCCGCGCGCGGATCCATTTTAGAAATGACCAAATGGTATTCTATTCACTGAAAGGCTGTGATAGAGCGATGCTGCGGTTATAGATTTGCAAGCTGCGCTTTCGCCCCCCTCCTCTCCCCTCCCATGTACCAAATCTCCTGACATTTTTTTTTTTTTTTTTTTTTTTGAAAGCATCGGTTCTTGTGTCAGGTAGTAGCCGGATGGTGCCGTGTGTTGGAAGCGACAGCTTTGTTACATAAAATGATCTGACAGGATTTGGCAGCGTCTGACCTGGTGATGACACATTTGTTAAAAATCAGACAAGAAGTCATTCTGTGAGCAGAGCCTGTCTGTATCTATAGGCCTGTGATCCTTAATGGGGATTCTGTTGATAGAGAGCTATCATCACAGTTAAAACACAGGAATCCCCCCCATGAACATGACAAATGTAGCCTAAAGGTGCATGGCAGGGTGACACTTGACAAGTTTAATCCCTAAAAAAAGGACAAATATTTGCATTACTTGCATGTGCATTTAATTTATTGCCCCACTTGGGCCCAGCTAGCGTTGCAAATCCTTTAATGCACTGCTTTTACACTCAGGCTTTCACAAATGGGATGTTTTAAATTTTGGATTATGAACATTGAGCCGATGGTCAACAATCCATCTCTTTTACACATGCAGTTGGAGCGTATAAGGGAACATACAGCCGGTTTGGGATTAGAAGGACTGAAATGTGCTTGGTGGGTGTATATTTGGCAGCATGAGAAACAAAATCAGCAAATTATTCTTCCATACTTTCCCTCTGAACAGAACAAAACAGCATTCCTTGACAGTTTGACCTCTGGGCATGCCAGCACATGCTCCAGCCCCAGAGCATCAGCAGCACTTCCTGCACACATCACAAATACATAGGTGTCAACTGGTGACTGGTAAAATAAATAAATCTAATTAACCTGGTGGGAGTGATCAAAGTGTTGGAAAAATGGATGCAATCTTTGGTGTCATCACAGTGCTGTCCATACGCTGGCACTGATTTATATCATACAAATCCATCGCAGGTCAAGAGATTTTCTTACCACAAGATAAAATCTCCTCATGACATACAAAACGCTAAACTCAGTGCCTCTCCTCTGTCTATAGCCCATGGGATCAGAGCGGATGGAGATGCGAAAGAGGCAGATGTCGGTGCAGCAGGAGTCGGCAGCGGGGGGAACTGCACCGGCCCAGCAGGGCCAGCCGGGCCAGGCCAACCCACGGGGCTCAAATGCATGTTGCTTCTGCTGGTGCTGCTGCTGTAGCTGTTCCTGGTAGGTCTTCCTCACCCGAGAACTCACTGGTCGTGGCGCAACACGGCCAACATTACTGCACACAGGACAGCACAGCCTGTGCTGCTGTGTCTGAGCAGCAGGCTCTGGCTTGTGTCTTATGCTCTCAATATTTTTGCATGTGATCTGTGGACCTGCAGCAGCCTTATTAGAGTGTAAAAGCCTGAACAGCAGTTAGCTATCTGATGAGAAAGTGAGAAATGTGAGCTCCTGTAATATCTGCAATTCAGTAAGCTGAATGTGGAGGGAATCACACCAAATCAAACACATTTACAAGACAATGTAGATTCAGACACACAGCTAAACAAATATAAGCAAACACATTGCTATTATATACAGGATGAGTATTTATGTATGTATATGTGTCATGAGTATTTACATCATATAGGTATCTGATATATGTCTAATGAACATTCATTAATTTTCATTTCTTGATTGATTGTATAAATGTTTAGTCTATAAAATGTCAGAAAATTGTGCATAATGTTCATCATAATTTCCAAGATCCAAGGTGACATCCTCAAATTTGCTTTTTTGTTCGACCAACAGTCTTAAACCCAAAGATATCTGGTTTTGACACATACCCCTTTTCCACAAACATGAAACCTGTTCCGTTTCGGTTTTGGCACCTAATTTTGAGCCATTCAGAGCATTTTGACAAAAAATGAATTGGTTCAAAACCTGAGAAGTTGGGTCTCAGCTGGAACCAAAACAGCAAGTTTTCCTCGACCTAAAGTGCGAACCATGACAGTAATGGGTGTGTCATATTCTAGAGGTTAGAAGGAGAAAATGGAGAAGGCAACACTGGAGAAGTCAAATGAGAAATCATCAAAGAGTGTGCTGTAGTCTCATTAATAATTGTTCCATGCTTGTATCTTTAATACCAGAACTGAAGTTCACAGGTGATCCCCGATGTTGCTACCACTGTTTGCTTCTGTTGTGCATTGTGCAACGGCCTCCACTGATGACACAACCTTGATTACAATGGTTCTGGTCAAAACTTGTGGAAATGTGGACAGGTTCAATAGATAGGACCAAGGTTACAGGAAAGGAAACATTAATGGAACCAGTTCATGAACCAGAGCTAATTTGGTGGAAAAGGGGGTGATAGAAGAGAAAGGAAACCAGGAAATGTTTATATTTGAGTGTCTGGAACCAGCAACATTTTGCACAGTGATGGCATGGTAGTACGGTTGCCCTCACAGCATGAGGGTTCCTGGCTCGAACCCGGGGTGGAGGGTTCGAGTTTTCATGTTTCCTACGTGTGAGTGTGGATTTTCTCTGGGTACTCCAGCTTCCTCCCACAGTCCAAAGACATGCAGGTTAACTGGTGACTCTAAATTCCCCGTATGTGTGAATGTGAGCGTGAATGGTTGTCTGTCTCTATGTGTCAGCCCTGTGATAGTCTGGTGACCTGTCCAGGGTGTACCCTGCCTCTCGCCCAGTCAGCTGGGATAGGCTCCAGCACCCCCACGACCCCTAACATGATAAGTCATTATGGAGAATTAATAAATTAATGACTGAGATGAATAATCTATTATCAAAACAGCTACTGATTAATTTTTTATCAATCATCTAATCAATTACTTGAGCAACTGCCTCAGCTCTACAGGTGAGAGTGCATGGCAAAGAATAACAAAAAATGCTGTGATGAATATGAGCTACTGTGTTCACACAGGGTGGTTTTATATGCGTGTATACAACGTTTATGAATTATTGCCCTCTAGTTTTATGCCTCCGCCAACTAGCAGTGTTGTAGTTTACATTCATGTCACTCCAGACTTATATGTAGTGAAGACTTTGAAGGAATTGAATTAAAAGTATTGACTGTATTTTTTGGCGAAATGGAAGTTATCAATATATTTATACATTTGATTCTCGTGAGAAATTTCCAGTGAGAAACATGCTGTCTTCACTCAGAAAATATTTTTACAGAACAGAGGAGTACAGAGGACTGACAGAGAGCTTTGTCACATGGTTCAATGACAATCACATGAAGCTCAGTATCAGCAAAACCAGTGAGCTTGTGGTGGACGACCAGAGGAACAACATACAACAGAAAATAGTAGCCTGATAGCTGACAGTACTTCAACCCGGCAGCATACAAGATCTACACAATCAGCACAGTTACAAGGTGGACACGAGGGCTGGGTAGTGTTTTTAAACTTAAAATATCAGTATCAATACCACACCCCTTAAGGTGATACCAATACCAGTAGAGTACTTCATTTAATACCATTTGGTTTCTTCTTAATTTGACACCCATCATGTGAATGGAAGCATTCACATAGACAAAATGCCATCATACTTTAAAATGTTTTGGTGTCATCTTGGCACGCTGAACTGCCAATTCGGTAAAATACACCATGCTCAACTTCACCCTGTCACAGACTGTATGGGTAGTTGCTGCTGCTGTAGTGGGCCAATCACACATTAAATCGAAGAATGCTTGTGGTGATTGGCTGCAAGCATAACCTTAAGTTTTAAGTTTTAATAATAATAAGTTTTAATACTACCTAGCACTGGGTGATTTCGGTTGATACTTATACTCAGCCCTAATGGTCACCCAAGATTAGTGTCACCACTTCAGTATCTGACCAAATGTGAAATATGGTCACAATCTCCCCTTCTGTTCCTAAATTATGGCCGGAAGAGTGTTTTGCAGAACATTATCATGTCACAGTGCAATTGACCTTTGACCTTTTTGATATAAAATGTCATCATTTTATCTTATTTGTTGTTTGTGTGAAATTTCATCATAATTTGTGTATGAACTCTTGAGTTATGGCCAAAAACGTGTTTTGCAAGGTCACAATGACCTTGATCTTTGATTATCAAATTCTAACCAGTTTATCTCTGAGTCCAATTACACGTTTGTGCCAAATTTGAAGAAATTCCATCAAGGTGTTCACAAGAGTGGGACAGATGGACAGACCGGTGGAGGTACAACCTGAAAACGCTACAGCCTCCAGCCTTGGTTGTTGCTGGCGTGGAGGCATAATGATGATGTACAGTTAATAATCAGTTTGTCTGTCTCACCACAAGGAATGAAGACCGGGATGAAAGGAACCGAAAGACTTCTTATGACGTCAAAGAAGGGACCTCAGACTGTGAAGACTGGTCAGTTGATGTCACTGCTCAAAAATGCCATATCTCCTGAACATATTTGCGAAAGTAAATGTTGAAATCACTCACCCCCATGTTGTCCACGCTCTCTGCAGCCCTAAGCCCACGCTGGAGGAGGTGCGCTCGTGGGGCCAGTCGTTTGATAAGCTAATGTGTTGCCCAGCGGGGAGGAACTCCTTCCGACAGTTTCTTCGCACCGAGTTCAGCGAGGAGAACATGCTCTTCTGGTTAGCCTGTGAGGAGTTCAGCAAAGACACCAATAAGAGCACGGTAGAGGAGAGGGCTCGAGTCATCTACGAGGACTACATCTCCATCCTCTCGCCTAAAGAGGTCAGAGACAGCTCTTGATTACACAGTGTTATTAAGAATATGTTGAATTCAAGGGTGAAACTTCATATCTGACAAATGTTGGTCTCAGTCTCCATGACATTTATGGAAGAGTTTGACATTTTGGAGAATGCGCTTATTAGCTTTCTTTTACAGAAGTACATGAAAAGATTGATACCACTATCATGTCTGTATGGTAAATATGAAGCTACAGTCGGCAGCTACTTAGCTTAGCTTAGCTTAGCATAAAGACTGGAAGCGGGGAAACGGCTAGCCTGGCGCTGTCCAAAAGTAACAAAATTCCACCCAACAGCGTCTTTAAAGCTCACTAGCTAACATGTTTGGTTTGTTTAACCTATGAAGAACAATCGAGAAAAAAAACCCCAATAATTTTGGTTATTAGCAGACTGTTTTTGGCTCTGAGCAGTTGCCAGGCAACCAGCGGAGACAACAGGAAGTTAAGCCCAGTTATTTGCTACGAGACGAAAATGTTTTGGAATGATGCATTGAAAAGTTACAGCAGTGTGAACTGGCTAGTCTGAGCTTGACTCAAGCTAGCTGATGGTGTCGCCTGCAACTCAGTTTGTCATGGTGTGAGGCATGTCCCCCGTTTCAACAGCCAATCAGCTTGCAGTGAAGTCAGCTGTGGCTGTCGACACGTATGTTAGTTAATTATTGTGGCGTCCATCTGAAGCTCAAGTCGTTTTGTTTATGTTTTCACCGTTTCATCACCAGAAATGTAACGATATCTCACCATAACTATCCTCATGCATATTTTAATAAGCTACAAATCGGAACGGAAGTACAGAGGGTTCTTGCTATAGATACTATATACCGCCTCTACTAGTCGCATTGGTGTAAACTGGCAGGGTTTCAGATCGTTGCAGACCGACGCATCACAAATAATTGCAAGTTTCAACTAGTCTTGTCGCAAATCTTCTGTCTGAACTGGGCTTTAAATGTCTCAGCCAAGAAACAGTTATAGAAACACTAATAATGCCATGTAAACAGCAATTTGTAATTTTGAATTTTTAAACAAATGAGATTGATATGTAAGTTGTTAATTAATGGGCTTTAGGCTGATTTTGTTTTCTTTAGACAGAGCCACGGTAGCCGTTTCCTCCATTTTCAGTCTCTATGCTAAGCTAAGCTAACTGACTGCTAATGGTCGCTTCATATTTACTGAACGGATGTGTGAGTGACATCTATACCCATGTCACGGTACACAAAATTCATTGTCTGGAATGTGCACATGCTATCATCCCCAATTTTAACCCTGGTTCTTGACTTGCAGGTGAGCCTTGACTCCCGTGTGCGTGAGGCGATCAACAGGAACATGCAGGAACCCACCTTGCACACGTTCGACGACGCCCAGCTGCAGATCTACACGCTAATGCAAAGAGACTCGTATCCCCGCTACATGAACTCCCCAGCCTACAAAAACCTGCTCAACACTCTGTCAGAGCAGTCCCCCGAATCTTAGGGTGGTGATGACCTGTGATATTTTAACTCTCTTTATCCCCCCCTTCCTATTCCCTTTTTTAAATTTTTTCTTTATATGTTCAGTGTAGGATTACATGAAACCGGGCCTCGGGCCTGGCCCCTCCCAGGGATCTCAGCGCTATTGTGATCTGCACCTGACTGAAGACACTCAGGTCTCAAAAAAAAATCTCCCGAGGGCTCGACATCACAAGTACTGCTACAGATCAACATAGCAAAACACTCCAAAGGAATATGAATACATTTTATTTCTGTTTTCTTTCTTTTGATAGAAATAATCTATTTTATTTGTGTTCAGAGTTTTTTATGGTCCGTTGTTTTTTTGTATGATTGTTTGGGGGGAAAATGATTCCTACTGTAGATTATATATATTTATGAGTTTGTAAATAGTAAAAATGGAATTGTGGGTATTTTATGTAGAAACGCCTGGTTCTATTTACTGCGTATGAAAATCAAAGCTCAAGTCAAAGGCTACGTGTTAGCTCTACTTGCAGGCAGCTTTGTGGGGTACTGTATGATTTTACCTTGGTTTCACCCTGTTTCGTTACCTAACCTCATACTTTGGTACCTGTGACAGCGACTTGGCAACTCCAGTTCGTGTAGAAACTGTGCGTGATTGAAACTGCTCTAAGTGTGGTTATCAGTGAAGTGACAGAAAGTGACGATAGCGCTTGTCACGGTGTGCAATTTGTTTCCGTAAGAAACTCAAATCAATGATGAAAGGGTATTTTAACTTTCTTTACTGAACCACAGATGATTGCCTATTTAAGACTGATTTTTTATTTTATTTTATTTAAGTGTGACTCAATTCACACCTCATAGGTTTAATATAGTATTACCAGTGTGACAAAAGAACCTAAGTAATTCTATTTACCAGATAAAGTATTTTTTTATTTATTGATATCTATTGCCAATACAGAAAAAACAATAAGTACAAATTATATTTAAGTCCTACGGTGGATTAACTATACTGTTTGGACACTGTCAGAGACTGTAGAAATTTGGGTTTATTTTATGAGTCTGTAATTTCCTCATAATTTCTGAGAATTTTTATTATTTTTAGTAATTTGTTACTAATTTTGGCAGGAAATGAGAATATCCTTGAAAGAACTGCCACATTTAAAACCAAGTAAATATTAATACATTATTAAATCATGATTGGAGACTTAAAGGTGCTGTATGTAACTCTGGAGAAAGATAGTTGATTATTTTGTTTCATTCCCAGATGGTCAAATACAGACGCTTTGGGTTAGTAACAGTATTTGACGACCTGGGAATTTAACTCAACAATCAAATATCTTTCTCCAGAATTACATAAAGCACCTTTAAAGGAATAGCCTGACATTCTGGGTAACATTACTAATTGCTTCTGAAAGTAAAGCCTAGTTCAGACCAAAGATTCGCGATGAAATGAAACCATTTTAGAACGTGGCAGAGAAAAGTGGCAGTGGTGTGAGCTCGACTGAAGCCAGCTGATGGTGTCACCTGCAACTCCGCTGGTCGAATCGCCGGCAGCTGGTTTTAGAACGTAAGGCTTGTCACCTGTTTCAACAGCCAGTCAGCTTGTAGTGAAGTCCGCTGGTCAAGTCAAAATGACTGCAGATGGCATGATCGCTTGCTGCTCCATCCCTGCTGAGCCTCTGTTTCTGTCCTTATGTGTGCCAGTGTCAGATGGTGGGTCGCTGCTGCAGCTCGCTGTGTATGCTTATGCCCCCATACACACATTGTCACTGACTACCTAAATTGCGCTGCTTACTTATATTATTGTGACGTAGTTATTATGAATACAGTCCATCTGATGCTCGTTTTGTTTCTGTTATTCGCGTTTCATCACTACTACGAATACAGCTGTAGCCAGTATCTCACTGTCACTATCCTTATTCATATTTTAAGAAGCTACAAATTATATTCAGCCACAAAATAAGTCTGAAAAGCTGGAAGTCAGAACAGAAGTACAGAGTTGTTGCATAGAGATGATACACCATCTCATCTAGTTGCATTGGTGTGAACCGGCAGGTTTTTAGAAAGTTGCAGAATGGCGTATTGCAAGTAGTTGCATGTTTCAACTCGTCTCGTCATGAATCTTTGGTCTGAACTGGGAATAAGACAGAGGGATTTATACCTGTCTTTTGTCTGTTTGCTAAATTTAAAGTGACAGTCAGATGCTGGTTAGCTTGGCTTTGCACAAAGACTGGGAACAGAGAAAACTGCTAGCCTGGCTCTATCTATAGGTGACAGATTCCACCTATCAGCAGCTCTGAAGCTCCATATTTAACACATCTCGCTTTTTAAATCCTAGCTGTTTCCCTGTTTCCAATCTTTATGCTAAGTTACGATAAATGGCTGCTGGCTGTAGCTTCATATTTATTGTACAGACATGAAAGTAGAATTGATTTTCCCATCCAACGAAAGCAATTAAACGCATTCTCTATCTATTCAACTTTTTTTTGTTTAGCTGAGAGTTATTTGGAATTAATCAATTAGAAATGCATCAACTGTCTCTATTTTACCAGTAATTAGTACTTTAATACAAAGTATTTTCAGGAAACTTCTTGGAAATGAACAGGAAATTGCAAATTAAAATACAAATTACAGACGGACAAAATAAAGCGTCATCAGAATTTGTGGGATTTTTTGACAGCAGGTGGTCATCTGTGATTTTCACCTAAAGGTCCAGTGTGTAGGCTTTATGGGCATCTATCTGCAGAAATGATGTACAATACTAATAATTGTTTCAATTAATTCACCTGAAAATAAGAACCAGCAGGATTATTTGTTACCTTAAAATGAGCCGTTAATGTCTACAAATGGAAGCATATCCTCTTCCACTGAGTCCACCACATTGTACTACAGTAGCCCAGAACAGACAACAAAACTGGCGGGAGAAGTTTCAGTTCTGCAACTCCACCACTATATGAGAGTAAATCCTACACACTAAACCTCTAAAAAATCTCACCTGCAATACGAAATTAACTTCTGATTAAAATCGACGCTGGGGTCCAGCCAGGTCAGCAGCAACACCAAAGCTACCATGTAAACTGTGTTCATACGTTTAACGAAAGCGTTTCCATTGACTAAAATTGGAGTTGCCAAGTATTAAATACTTTTATGTATTCTGATAGTTTTAGTTAAATTACTTTGTTGCCTCACAAACGTCACTCAAAGACAAGATCCTCACATGGGGAAGTGCCTTGACATTCAGTTTTATGACATCTTTCTCATGGGCAACAGTTGTTTTCAGACTCTTGCTATATGGGTGGTTACTAGAGCATGAGGCCAGTTTACTGGAAATCGTCCCTCTCTTTGGCCAAATTATCGCATGTGTTTTGTCTTGATTCCTTAGTCGTGACTGCATCGGTCCATTTGGGTGGCGCTACCAAACAGTATGGTGGAGAGTGATGACAACACATGTCTTTATTTGCTGAAGACAAAGATCAATGGATAGGGCTGTTTGATCTGAACTTCTTGCCAACCTGTGTGCTTCACGGTGGCACTTCTACTTGTCTTAGAGTTAACTTTAACTTACTATGTGCAATTTGAGCTGATGGATACACCGCGCAGATCAACCTCAAAACACAATCTAAGCCAATGGTTTGGAGTGATGCCTATAAATGTTGTTTCTTCTTCTGTTTACTATATGAAATGTGTTATTTTGCGCTGAGTTTACTGAAGAATACATTTTTAAAAAAACAAATAATGTGAATGTTTACAGTATATGGTTTAGTTTTTTTTCTGCTACTCTCCAAGAAAATAATGACTTGTGGGCATTTTGATTAAGATAAAATAAAGCACAATAATTTTACTGACTCTGGAATGATTTGATTTAGCACCATAGTTCCCGCCAGGCTGGTCATAAAGCTCACGGAGCTGGGATTCAACACACCCCTGTGCATGTGGATCCTTGACCTCCTGACAGCAAGACCCCATGTGGTGAGAGTGGGCGGACACAACTCTTTCACTCTCATCCTCAACAGCGGAGCACCCCAGGGCGGCGTTTTGAGTCCCCTGCTGTACTCCCTGTACACACACGACTCTGCAGCCATTTCAGACTCCAACACCATCATTAGGTTTGCTGATGACACAGCTGTGGTGGGTCTGATTACAGATAATGATGAAAAGGCCTTCCTCAAAGAAGTAGAGGACAGCAACCCACTCCTGAATGTCAGCAAAACTAAGGAGATGATGGTGGACTTTGGGAAGAAGCAGCCAAGGACCTATGGTCCCTTTAATATCAACTGGTCCTCAGTGGAGAGGGTGCAGAGCTTCAAATACTTTGGTTTCCACATCACAGAGGGCCTGATCTGGGTGCTGCATACTGACTCAGTGGTGAGAAAGGCAAGGCAGAGACTGTTTTACCTCAGGCGCCTGAGGAAATTCCAGGTATCCCCTCAAATACTGAGGAATTTCTACTCCTGCACTATCAAGACATCCTGGCAGGAGCATCACTGCCTGGTATGAAAACAGCACCTAACAGGACTGCAAGGCCCTGCAAATAAAGGTTCATTCTGAACATACCATAGGCTCTGCTCTACCCTGCATAAAGAATGTTTATACCACATGCTGAAAAACAAGGCAAGATAAATTATATAAGATCCCAGCCAAAGGCATAACTGCCTTTTTGCCCTGCTGAGGTTGGTAAGAAGGTGCCAATTACACCAGGCCAGCACTGAGAGACTCAGGAGGAGCTTCTCATAGCAAACCACAAGAATACTGAATAATAACCCTGGTTTATCCTAAACATTGGCATTTATTGATTACTACCACTACTAAATATTTAAGGAACTGACAACTGTTCTTTTTACAGGATTTTAATCTATCAGAGGAAATATTAAAATATTGGTTTGAAGGTTAACATGAGCAAAATGATTCTCTCCCATTGTACAAGTCTAAGTGCATTCAGTCGAGGATGGTGTTTGCCAGAAACATTAGAGGTGCTCTCCATCAAACAAACTGTTCAAATCAATCTTGATAAGAAAACAATCAACAATAAAATTGAGCTGAGATGGGTTGATGAGATTAAATATCCATCGAATGAAGTACAATTTAGTAAGACTCTAAGGGCCATTATTAAACGATATACGAGAACTACAGTAAAGCAAAACTTCATATGTATTGATATAGTGACCAGACTTAGGTCATTTTGTACTCATCTGCTGATATGGAGCTGTAAAGGATGTTTTAAATAATCAATCATAGAAAATGCTGGGAAATAAAGGTAAGCAAATATTAACTCATTCCCATTGAACAAATGCCTGTGTGTACATAACAGTAGTGGTTCCCTACATTTTTTGCTTGTGACCCTTGAACTCTAATACTCAGTTTGGGATCCTGGTGACCCTAGGCACTCTGTAAAATGATTAAAACATACATAACAGTTTTGATGATATGATTGCCTAGAACCATGAATTAGAAAAAAATGTTGCACACAGATTAAAGGAATACTTCACCCCCAAAATGATCATTTGTATATCAATTACTCATTCTGTGTTATAATGTAATTGCAAAGAAAACATTTCTTGCATGCCTCCCGTTAAAACCAACAAACTTTGATGAATTGAAGCCACTGAGGACAGCATATTCGCTGTCTTTGGCAAACTTCACCAGATGTCCTCCCCCCATATTATTCTTGTATATGAATGCATACTGGTATTTCTTAAAAAACACGTCACATCACATTACCCTGTGGTCAGCCCTTTCCAACGGGAACTAAAAGTGAAACTTTTCTACGCTTTTACTTTCCGTCTTGTTCACACAAGAATTTGTTTTAACTTGAGGAAGACAAATTACATACATAAAAGGCTGACAGTAAGGTAATACAATGTGTTTGGGAAGCACTGAGCATACAGCTGGATACATGAGACTTATTGTGTGAGCGTTTGTAAACAGATGTTTTAATATAGTTTTGCTGTTGTTAAATGTGGTCCCCTTTTACCTCAATTCGTTTGTCGATTTTGGATTCTTCGTTGATGGTGGAGGTACACGGGAAAAACGTCTCTTGAATTAAACCTAACACAGGGTGAGTAACTGATTAGTATTGCTTCAATATTGTACTTAAGTACTTGCCTTCTTTGAGTTAAAAGAATAAACAGACTTTTGTGTGACTGGTCTGGGTTCAGTTTGTGTGAGGGTAAGGCAACACTACTCGTCAACATAGAGTGGCTGCACCTGGCCATTAAAAAAAACAAAAAACCTAGAGCAAAGGGAAACAATTGTGCGTCTCTCCTGGTTGTGCCGATGACATTACCCCGTCCCTAGACAGATTAATATGCATACATCAGCATTCACTTTGATGTGATGAATATTCCACCAATGACAAATGTATACTCCTCGACACACACGCAGTGTTTGTCCTCTCAGATCCCTAATTGCATTAGTATAACGTTCAAGATTCACATAACCAGAAGAGACTGCAGAGTAATGAAAAGCACTTCTTTTTAATCAAATGGATTACACGTTTATTGGGAAATTAAATAAAACAATGCAATGTTGTGAGGGAAAAGCAAAACAACATTGTCCAAAGTGTTAAAACTACATATAAAAAATGCAGATAAAAGAGAATGAGACAAGATTGATCGCATATATCGGACAGTGACAAAACAACTAATAGTAAATAGTAAAAGATTTGGGGGGGAGGGAGTCGGGGGACTGACAATGAGCTCCATCTATGAACAGGATATTTATTCAAACGGTAACCGGTGGCATCTTTGTATGGCATGTTGTGTACTGTGTACCACGAAATACAAAGCTCCAATCTGTTGCAGAGAGACACAACCTGGTCCAGGAATTTTGCTACTTTTCGGAGTGCCGTGCAGATTCAGCAGAA